TATAGGGGTGCCACTTCCAGCTGGAATGGAGCTGTACTTCATCACCTTTACCAAGCTGAAGCGAGAATTCACTCACCCGAGATACCAGACCATCATAGAAGTCTGCCAGTGGACCACAATCTTCTATCAGCACATAACGATCTTGACGGTTTGTGAAGTAGTCATTACTCAGGTTTGCCCTGCACCAAAAAGTACAAAAATTTCACTCATATGTGCAACTGCAAATTATACTTGATACAACTTTGCTTATACGAAATAGTAAGTTTTGTATAAATAATTGATTCATAGCTTATTTAATAATAATATTTAAATTGATATATTTATACAGTGTGAAATAAAATGGAAAGATGATCATGAATGATGAAGAGGTAAAAATTTGGAAGGATGTGTATGCAGTTTATTTCAAAGCAAAACTCAGGATTACTGATAACGAAGCTGAGTGTGTGTGTTTGTTCATATATATGTATAAATGTATTCAGGACTTTTGTTCTACTGGCACACAATGGTGTAGCATAGTTTCACCTTTTGCCATATAAGGTCTATGAATTAAATACCAGACTGATGATTTTTGTGCAGAACTGGCAGCATTGGTGAAATGACATATATAGCATCACATGACTACCTGGTTCAACAGTTTTGTGTTACATAGTCATTGATTTTTTTAATCTATTTTGTGGTTTACTGATGCACTGTGTCATTTATTAAAAATATAGCTAATGAAGTATTAAAACAATTAGCTTTACACTTTTAGTGACATTTAAAAATAATGTCACTCACATCAAAAATGTTACATAAAATTTATGAAGATAGATTTGTGACTGGTTAAACCATTTGAAAATGTAAAGAAAGATGTTACAGAAGATGAGAATATGGTCTTCTACAAGTTCAAGAACTGATCCAAAATGTGGAAAATATGACTAAAATGATCAATTTCACCATTGAGTTAAGAAAAAATTCTTCAAACATTTCAGTATGAATTTTGGATGATTCCAATTTTTGGGGGTTAAAACCAGTGACTGGTAAAGACATTTGGGTCTTCCAGTACAAGCCAAAGCAAAACCCATAGGCACTAATGGAAAAGCCACAGTCTCCAAAATTTAAAAAAAGCATGACAAATTCAAAGTTGTACTACAAACTTGCCAAAATTGGCTCCATGTTAAAAACTAAGAATCTCAGAAGGCAAATGGTGTGAAGATGACCACACTCACTTAAAGGAAGTGACAAAATACTTTTTTACAGAAAAATCCTATATTTGTGAGCCATCGCAAAACACAAAATTAGAAGAATTATAAATGTTACTAAAATGACTGAATAACAGACAGTGAAATAATTTATCAACTTTTTAATTTGCTTCTCTGTGGAAAAACATAATAAGTATCATGGCTCTTGTCAAATGTATTTGATCACTAGTACTCTCTTGATTAAAAATAAAACTATGCCAATAATGCCTTTGTATATGCATGTACGAGGCGCGTCCTCAAAGTAAGTTTCCCACTCGTCCCACAGCTAGCAAACCTTATATTGCGCGAAGCGACTGTGCGTACGTGATAGAGCAATGACGTAGCATGGCGCATGCACTAACGGCAC